AAAAAAAAAAAAAAAAAAAAAAAAAAAAACCTCACAATGATTCTCCTGTCTCAGCCTCCTGAGTGCTGGGATTCCAGGCGTGGGCCACCATGCCCAGTGGGTTTTGATGTTTTGTTTTTGTTCATTTATAGATGAGTCTCATTGTGTTACCCAGGCTTGTTTTGAACTGCTAGGAGATCTTGCCTCAGCCTCCCAGGTGGTGAAGGATGAGGCTGTGACAGCACATTCCAGCTCTTCACAGGTTAGCACAGAACCCACATGTGGGTTGTGAAGAATGAGGCTAACTAAGATGGTTTGCCTGCCGTACCATTTTGATTGATTGATTGATTATTTTTATTTTTTTGCGGTAACGGGGATTGGATTCAGGACCTTGCACTTGCCAGGCAGGCACTTATTCTACTGAGCTATTTCCCCAGCCAACCTTACTTGGCTGTCTTCTGCACAACCACCAGGAGCTCTCAGAACCAGATTAAATGGTAAGGCTCCATTTATAATCAGGCTAGCAACTGTCTTTAGTCCAGGACATAGTGGAAAAAGTGCTACTTGGAGGCATGTAAAGCCAATTAGATGAGGTCCTTCAGGCTGTACCCTCTACACAATATGAAGGAGAACAATAGGACTAAAAAAGATCGGAAAACACAGGTGAGCAAATGCATTTGTATTTGGTTTTGTATTTTAGAAGCACCCACACCTTTGTCCTGGCTGGGGGGTCACTCAGGGACCTCAGTGGGAGAGCCACAGGGTCTGCCAATCCCAATCCTCTATCCTCCATCCCCTTGTCTTGCAGAGAGATAGGACCTCTGTTGTGCCAATCAGAGAGAAGCCCCAGGACATCCACGTGGCCTGAGCAGAAGGAACTCTGGCTCAGGCGGGGGCAGAGCTCAGGGGCAGGGTGCTGCCTGGCCCACATGAAGCCCAAGGCTCCAGCCCCCACTATCATGAACACAAAGAAAGGCTTGACGTTGAAAAATAAAAGCAAGTTGTTCCTGAGATGTATGGATTGGACCAGTCTTGCTGCCCTAGAAGGATGGGCACTGCGGCCCATTCTGTGTCCTGCAGATGTCTCACCTGCAGTTTTCCTTTGGAAGGTTAGTGCTGACCCCTGTGAAGGGAGACAGGATGCTGGACACGTGGAGAGGGACAGGTCAGAAGTACCTGCTAGGAGTACTAGTTACAAGCCCAGTGTCGTGGCACATGCTGTGGCACTAGAGAGGCTGAGGCAGGAGGGTAGCTGTGAGTTGGAGGCCACCCTGGTTTGGAGAATGAGTTTACAGTCATCCTGAACTACATAGCAAGACCTTGTCTCAGAACAAAACAAAACAAAGCAAAACAACAACAGCAAACCTACCAAAAAATAACAGTACTAGTTTCTTTTTTTTTTTTTGGTGGCCAGCTCACCCCATGTTAGGGGTGAGGCTGGCTCGGCATGTGATGCAGGAGATCGAACCCTGCACTGCCTAAGCCTGCCTAAGCAGGTGCTTTAGACCACTGAGCTATCCTGCTGGCCCCAAAAGTATGAGTTAAGCTTGGAGAGCTAAGAACAAATGAGGTTTATGTATTTATTTATTTTGTATTTAGTACAGTGTCTCACTATGTAGATCAGACTCGTAATTCTCCTGTTTTCAGCCTCCCAAGTGTTGGGATTATAGGCGTGAGCCACCACACCCGTCTCAATCACTGCCTCAGTGCACTGAGCTCTGCCTAAGCAGGCACTTTAGTTCACTGAGCTATCTGGCCGGCCCTCTTTACTTATGTAGAGACAAGATCTCACTGTATAGTTCAGGCTGGCCTTGAGTTCACTGTGTAGCCCAGGCTACTTGAACTGGGAAGTCTTCCTTCCTCAGCCTTCCTAGTGCTAGAATTATAGGCATGCAACACCATGCCTGGCTAAGGTATGATTTTAGAGAGACTTCAGCCACCTCCTTACAATGAAAGAAAAAATAGAAGCTTTGATGGGGATCACTTGCCCAAGGCCACACAACGGGACAATGACTGTACGACTTCTGAAGATTAATAAAAGGCTATCTCCTCTCCTTCCCATCCCCACCACACAAGTAAACTGTAAAGGCTATCAGAGAGATAAGCACTTCACTATGCTAGAAAATAAGAGCAGGTCGAAGAACTCGAGCCACACTAATGAAAACTCTTGGTTCTTACCAGTGCTTTTCTGTCTGTTAGGCCTAACTGTAGCCAAGGTACCTGTAGAAACACATTAGGAAAGCCAGAGAAAATATACCGCAAGACCATCCCTGCCCTTCAGGAGGTCACAGTCTAGCCAGGGAGACAAACACACACATAAAATGAGAAGATTACAAGCAGCATGTCAACAAGTGCAAAGTGATTGTTACAAATAAAAGACGTAGCCCTGGAGGACGCAGTGTCGGGGAGTGAGGCTTTGGCTTAGGTTGTAGATCACACAGTGGCAGCCGAGGGCCAAACCCTCCCCGAAAATGGACTGAGCTTTATTATTATTGCCCCTGGTGCTGGAGGTTGGACCCAGGGCCTTGTGCAGGCTAAGTACACACTGCACAACTGAGCTACACCCTTAGCGCTAGTTTTGTTTTTCTTTTTTTTTTTCTTAGCCCTAGCTTTTAATAATGCTAATTAGAACCCGGGTTGAGAAGGAACATGCCAGCTGATAAATGCAGAAGCGTCAACAGAATTGGAAAAACAGCATTTTGTGAACGCTAATAAAATGATCAATCTGGCAAAGATTGTTAATTTGTGTGTTAAAGCAGGTGTTGGTCTAGTGGTGCATGCCTGTAATGCAGCTACTTTGGAGACCTAGGTGGGAGGATGGAAAGCTCACGGCCAGCCTGGGCAATTTAGCCAGATCCTGTCTCTGTCTCAAAAAATAAAAAGGAGGCTGAGTGTGGTGGCGCAGGCCTATAATCCCAGCAATTATGAGGCTGAGGAAGAGGATAATTGTAAGTTTGAGACCAGCCTGGGCTGCAAAGTGAGCTGAAGGCCAGCCT